GCTCCCGGTGCTCTCTCCCCAGCAGCCACCCGCCTTGAACACCGCATACTCGTCCTCCAACCTCCCGCAGAACCCGCCCGCAAACTCGTCGTCGCCGCGGCTCAGGATGGACACGAGGCGGAAGCGCAGCTTGGCTGGCAGGTGCAGGGTGGGGAGGCAGGCCGGTTGGGCGGGGGCTGTGGGTGTGTGGGGACAGGCCAATAGGGCAGGACAGGCACGGGACCATGAGCAGCGCGGCTGGGGATGGCTGGTACGCGAGCGCTGCCGCGTGGCTGGCGCCACCCCTCGCCTGGCGGCGGCTACGAAGCGCCCAGCAACCACAGGCTGGGCGCCTCACCCGGCACAAAGGCCTTGAGGTAGGCCAGGCGGGGGCCGATGTAGTTGACTGGGTCGTGGATGAAGACGCGAGGGTACTGGGCCACCTGCGGTGCCGCAGATGCAAGTGTGGAGGGCAGCTGGCTGGGGGCTGGGGCCACACGCGGTGGAGTGCCGGGCCAAGGGGCGGAGTGTCTAGCGCAGCCGGCTGAGGAGCAGCAGGGGCCCCAGGGCTCCACAGGGTGCGCAGGTGCAGCGGGCGCACCTTGTCCAGTCCAATCTCAAAGTCGGCCAGCAGCTTGAGCGTGAGGCGCACGATGGAGGGGCTGCGCGCAGGGGGACCGGCAGAGTGGGGGCTGGTCGAGTGCTGGGCCCGCGCCTGGCTGCCCGGAAGCAACACGCGCCGTGCCCCGCGCTGGCCGCCGCCGACACGGTTGACCCGGGCTCACTTGAGGCGCAGCACCGAGGGGTATCCCAACACGACGTCGCTGAGCTGGCGCCAGGTGCAGCCGTAGCCCATTAGTATGTCCACTATGCCCTGCATCTGCGCCTCCGGCTCCCTCAGCAGCAAGGGGCAGCGTGCCAGCAGCAGCGGGCACAACGGCGCCGGCAGGCGCCAGGTGGAGAAGAGCGCCAGCCGGGAGCACAGCGCGGCGCCGCCCTCTGCGCCCAGCACATGCGGATGCTCCGCCAGGAACTGCGGGCAAGGCAGCCGCAACGGGGAAGTACCAGCAAAGCTGTGTGTCAGGCGTGGCTGCTGGGCTGCTGAGGCCAGCCATGGGCATAGCTGCAGGCAAGCAAGTCCAAGGGTAACGCAGGTGGGTGGGGCCTGCGGTGCGCCCGCCAGCGCCAACGACCATCGTCTCCCGCTGCTGGAACACACGCCCCGCCCGCCCGCACGCACCTGCAGCACCTCGCTGGTGGACTTGCCCAGGTCGAGCCCCGCCTGGCTCAGGTGGCGCACCACGTCGCGGCGCCTGCAGGCATTCCGTAAAAGGAGGGGGGAGGCACGGCGGCTGGAGTGGGGTGTCGAGCGTGGGCACAAGCGTGGCCTAAGCGATACGCCAGCAAGCTCAGCCTCCCCGCCTGCCTGCCCAGCCGGGTGCTGGCCCAGCCAAGTGGCTGCCGGGGCACACCGCCGCTCACGTGAGCTGCGTGACGGTTGGGTACCGCAGTATTGCCGCCGATACCTGCTCCCGGCTGAACCCCAGGCTGCTCAGGTCCTGCAGGCTGCGCCCCAGCTGCGGCAGCACGCAGAGGCGGGAGGAGGGGGGGATCCGTGAGCGATTCGCTGGTAGGGTTGGGGCGAGGCCTGGCAGCCAGCAAACTACAGAGAGGCCAACAGAGGCTGGGGCGGGATGGATGGCAATAGCTGGCGCCCGCTCCTGCCCACTCGCCTCGGCAGGGAAGTCGGGGCTCAGCATGCCTGGGTGCTCCAGGATGGCAGCAGCCAGGCGCCGCGGCCGCCGCCACACCGATGCCACCACCTCGTGCTGCCGGCAGGGCGAAGCATACAGCGGTGAGCGCATTAACAGGGGCAGGCATCGCACGAGAACAAGGCTCGGAAGCAATTGCCACCAGTGGACAACACCATCCAACGCCGCAATGCCACCACGCCCCCACCTGTTTGCGAAGCTCGGCTGGTGTGCAGGCCAGCAGCTGCGGGGAGGTCTCCAGCACATGCCTCAGCTGTGCCACCGGCACCTTGGCGGTTGCTGTCAGCTCCCGGCTCACCGCCTCCACCTGCCCAGCGCTCACAGGAGGCACCAGAGCCAGCGAGCCACGCCCTGCGACTGCTGCACCTGCCTGCTGCCCAGGCTGGGAGCCTGCCGCCTCCGCTGCCCCTGCGGCTGACTGCTCGGCGGCCTCGGCGGCTTGTTGCTGGCGGCGGGTGGCGTAGGCGTGCGCTGCCGACAGCGCCTGGACGGCCTGTTCGGGCGCCATGCCCAGATAGCACAGCGCCTCGGCACCCTCCACCGTCCACGTGGGCTGCTCCTGCGCCTGGGCCTGCTGCTGCTGCTGCTGCTGCAGCAGCAGCAGCAGCTTCTCCAAACGCTGGCGGCGCTGCTGGCGCTGCAACTCCTGGCCGCGCTTGCGGTCCCTGGCCAGAGCCTCAGCCTCGCCTGCTGCCTCCAATGCTGCACTCAGGCGGCCTTCCATAGCAGCCCAGTCCGGAGGGGGTGCATCATCAACCGACGGCAGCTGACGTGTTGCATGCGCAGCTTCGCGCTGCTGCTGTCCCGCCGGCTCGGCGGGTTCCCGCTGCTGCTGCCGCTGCCGCTGCTGCTGCTGCTGCCGGGGCGGATGCTGCCCTTCGGGAGCCTGCCTGGGGCTTGTTGTGCTGGTCGGCTGCCTGGGCTGCTGTTTCCGCGGCAATTGTCTCTGCAGCGCACCCGCTGCTGCCTGCTGGGCCACTGCAAGCGCAGCAGGCGGCCCTTGCTTGGGTGCTGGCTGCTGCTGGGCGGGCACGGCAACCTGCTGCTGCTCGAGAGGCGGCGGCTGCTGCGGGCGCCGCCGCCGCCGCTTGGTTGCCTGCCGCTGCTGCTCCTCCACCGGCTGCGGCAGCTTGGCTACTTTCTGCTGCTTTAATGTCGGCGTCTGCCGCCTCTGCCGTTTTGGTTGTGACGGCGGCGCCGCTGGCGGGGTGCCGCCGGCGGTGGGCACATCTCCTGCTGGCGCAGAAGCGGCCTTTCTGCGAGGTCTGCGCACATTAGAGTTCTTTGCCTCGCTGCCTGGTGAGGCGGAGGGTTCGGCAGCCACCAGAATTCGCCGCTGGGCCACCTGCCGCAGCAGGCACAAGCGCGCTCGGCTGATCCCTATCAATCCATGGGGGTTGGTGCCCACAAACTTGGAGCAGGGCGACACCATCGGCGCATTGCAGGACCTCGCTGCTATTGCTTCCCAGCTGCAGGAGCAGCCTGTTCTTGATGCACAACAAAAATGTGATCCGACGGCCTAGCGATCCTGCCTGGTGGGCACGGCAGGCTACCTGCAGGTGGGGACGCCCGCCTGGCGGGGTCGAACCGCCGGCGTGAAGGCAGCGCTGCAGAGTGGCTAGCCTTGGCGCTTTCACATATATGTTCTACAGATGCATGCTGGCACATTGGTATAGTTCAAAAGCTTCTCCAACTATCAGGCTCAGCGGAACAAGGCGGGCAGGGCCAAAGGCATAAGCACGTAAAAACAGCAAGGGAGGGCGTGTGACAACGCCCCGGGGTGGGGTAGGAGTTGCAGTGGGCCATGTAACATTAACTGAGGGACAGAGTTAGCGGTCAAAGGGGGCAAGGGAAGGCAGGGGAAAAAGCGTCAAAAGTATCTTGCATCCAACAGGTTTGCAACAACAGGAAGTTTTGCTTGGTGGGAGGGACAGGCAGCCAACAATCGCAATCACAGCAGCATCTCGCTGGTGGGTGGCAGCGCGCAGCTCACACGTGCATGATCAATCAAGCGGCCTCGACGATCCAACTGTGGCTCACAGTTCGACATTCAATGTGGACCAACCCCTCCTAGTGTTGCTGGGTTGGCGCAGTATGCGGCTCAGCATGCAGCTGTCGCCAGCGGCTCCGCAGCCACTTGCTCAGCCATCGGGCCCGGCACCGTGGCCTCACCAGCTTGCGCCACACAATCCCCACTCTGCGCCGCAGCGGAAGCGCCGTGCACGCTCTTGTCCAAGGGCCCGCCGCGGCTGCCGCTCCCGCTGCTGCTCACGCCAGCGCCGGCGCCGGCGGGGGCAGCACCAGCGGCTGGATGCTGCTCGTCTCCCCTGCCCTGCTGCCCTGCGACCAGCAGAGCCACGTCGCTCTTTGCTGGCTGCTGCTGCTGCTCCTGTTGCTGCCACTCCTGCTCCTGCGGGCGCGGCTGCTCTGCCTGGGGCTGTGCTGGCCCCTGCTGTTCGTCGATCGGGGCCTGGCGCTGAGACTCGGCCGCACGCTCCTGCCGCTGCTGCTGCTGCGACGTCGGCGTGGTGCCAGTGGTGGCCTGGTGCTGGCTGCGGCACAGCAGCACAACCTCCTCCAAGCAGGCCTGCACCAGAGGGCACAGGGCAGGAGGGAGGGGCAAGTAGCCGTAGGTTGCTTAGAGCATCGAAATCGAGCATCGAAACCACAGCAAGCGCTTCCACCAACACAGTACATTTCGGCCTTCCCCCTCGCAGGCCAGCACCACCTGCACGCCCTCGAAGCAGCCTGCCTCCAGCAGCGGCATGAGGAAGGCGGCGTGCTCCTGGCGCTGCGCCTCGCTGCAGCATGGGCAGGCATGGCCGGCGCTCGGCAGATTACCAGCGTGCACAGTGGGCCTGCTTACATATGCCATTGGAGGTCAGCTCGCACCCTGCCCAGCAGCAAGGCGAGGCGCCCCTGCCCACCTCATCTTGCAGGAGAAGGCAGCCATGAAGCGGCCCACCAGGCCAGCGGTGACGCCCGCCGCGGCCGCGCCGCTGGTGCCGCGGCAGCAGGCCGCCAGCACCGCCGGCAGCTGCGCCACTGCCGCCGCGCCCGGGGAAGCGGCTGCGGCGGCCACGGCGGCGGCCCCGGGCAGGCCCGACCCCAGCAGCGCGGCGCCAGCGGCGCTGGCAGGGGTGGTGGGCGCCGCCGCGCCGCCCTTGCGCCCCTCGCCGCCGCCGCTGTCGCCCGCCGACTCGTCGCCCTGGCCCCCCGGCGAGTGCGCCTGGCGCGGGCGCTTGGCCAGGGGCGTCTCTGCCGCCAGGCCCTCCTCCTCCTCCTCCTCCCGGCTGCCGCCCGCCAGCTGGCGCGGCGGGTCCAGCAGCACATACTTCTCCTGCGCCAGCAGGTGCAGCTGCTGGTCGCCGTCGTCGTACTCAATGTGGTGCTGCCTGCAGGAGGCAGGGAGCAAGGGAGGGGAGGGGAGAGGGCCAGGCGGAGAAAAAGGATCAGGAGCTGCGGGTGAGGTGAGCAGCCCGCAGCCCACACAGGACAACAGCCGTAGGCGTGCGGGAGGTGGGGCCAGGCACCGTTCGTCGAGCGGTGTCCCGCCCTGTCCTCCCCCAGTTCGCACCCCGTGGAACGCTGGTAGTCGCTGACACGTCCCTCGTACCACCGCCGCATGCCCGGCCAGTAGATGCGCAGGCGGCAGCCCACCACCGACGCGCCCAGCTGGCGCCCTGCGGCGGCGGCCGCCGCCGCGGCGGCCTCGCCGCCGGCCTTGCGCGGGGTGCCACCGCCCGCGCGGGGCGTGCCAGAGGCGCCGCCAGGGCGTGAGTCGTAGGCCTGCTGGGCAGAGGGCGGGGCGATGCCGGCGGCCAGCTGGCGCTTGCGCGCCTCGCGGCACGCCTTCTTCAGCCGGGGGTTGAGGCACGGCTTGCACTGGCCGCAGCGCTCGGAGGGAGGGATGATGGGGTACAGCTGCTTGCGGGCGGGCAGGTGCAGCGCCGCGGCCACCGCCGCCGCCGGGCTGACGCCCTTGCCGCCGCCCCGGGCGGCGCCAGGGCTGGCGGGCACGCCGCCGTCCAAGCCCTCCGCCGGGGCTGCTTCGGCGGGGGCCGCTGCCTTGGCGTCGACCTCGATAGCCCCAGAGCCCAGGCCCTCCTCCTGCTCCCGCAGCAGCTCCAGCAGGCGGCGGCGTGCCAGCACGCAGGGCCGCTTGCGCTGCTGCAGGGGCAGTGAGACATCATGTCCATTATTTTAGGGCGGCGCCAGCAGCCCTTGCATGCCGGCGGTGCATCCCAGCACCTCCCCTCAGCCGGCCGTGGCAGCCAACCGCCAGGCAGCACGCAGCAGCTCACCGGGTTCTGGCAGTTGATGCACTTGAGGCACTTCATGCTGGCTGGGACGGGAGGGAAGATGATCGTCTTGGATGGGCGCCTGGGGGTGCCGCCGCCGCCGCCAGCGCTGCCGCCGGCCGGCTCCTCGGCCGCCTGCTCCCACTCCGGCTCCCGCTCCTGCTGCGCCTGCTGCGCCTCCTCCGCAGCCGCCGACGCCGAGCGCTGCCGCTGGCGCTTGGCGGCGGTGGGCGTGGCGCCTTCCATCTCGCCCGGCGCTGGCAGCGGCAGCTTGCGGTGCACAGCCGCCACCCGCAGCGGCCTCCCCGCCGCGTTGAGCCTGCCTGTGCCCTGCTTCTGGTGCCGCCGACCGCCTCCCTCATCATCCAATGAGGCCCCGCTCTCATCGCCCGACTGCCCCTCCCCCTCCTCCTCCTCCCCTGACTGCCCGCCACCCTCCTCGTCGGCGCCGCCCTGCAGCAGCAGCCAGGTAAGGTGAGTCGCTGCCGGCGTGTGGAAATCGATTACGCGAAGGCAGGAGCAGAGCTCGGTTGGAGGCTGCTGGCGAACTGCCTGCAACCAGCTGCTACAGACCAGTGTGCGAGCTTCCCCCCTGGCATGCTGGGCGGCCTCACCTCCTGCTCCCCAGCGCCGCCATCCTCCTCCATACCCTCACCCTCCTCCTCCTGCTCTTCCTCCGAGTCCTGCTCCCACCAGCCCCGCGCAGCGGTGGGGCCCGCCAGCGCGGGGCCCGGGGGCACGGCGGCGGCAGCGGCTGCCGGCTGCAGCTGCTCGGCGCCGCAGGCATGGAAGGTGTTCCACACGACCTCCACATCATGGTCGCGCAGATACTGCATGGTACTGACGCTGCTGCTGTACTCCTGCAGGGCAGGGTACACAGACAAGCGGGACGGTGGTCAGCAAGGGAGCCGGGGATGGGCAAAGGAGCGTAGCACTGAGGAGGAAGCCAAGCAGTTTATCACGAGGCCTGGGAAAGGGTTTGGAAAGGGTTCCTGGTTGCTCTGGCAATGCGAGCCATGCCGTGCCCGGCCTATGCAGGCAGCCCAACAGCCGCTCATCCAGCCAGTCCAAAGCGCAGACAGGAGCGACGTGCCATTGCCAAACCCAGTGCCCCCAATTCCAATTCCTTGCACGTTTGGGTCTGGGTTGGGCTGCCCCTGGGTCGGGGCTGGGTCAGCAGCAGGCAGGGTGGCTGGAAAGCGGCGGCGGAAAAAGGTAGCAGCGTGTGGCTTTTGCGGCACCCACCTGAAGCGGCAGGTACAGCGGCACCTCCCCCAGCTCCGTGCCCTCATCCATCGCCGCCTTGAGCCTCAGCAGGTCCACCACCCTCTGCACACAGGGTCATCAGGGCCCCAGGCACAGCAGGGGTGGGGCCTTGGGGCACTCACCCAGTGGCGAGCCACCCCACACCCCAGCGAGGCGGCCTCGGGAGGTGGGGTTTTGCTGGCTGCGCCTTGCCCCCCCTCCGCCGCACAATTGGGGTCCACACTGTCGCAATGCACATCGTGCATTGGTGCAGGGGAGGAGTGGGCGGCTCCAGGCGGGTGATCGCCCCACCCTCTCACCTGAGCCTCGGCCTCCGTTGCATAGAGCCCCACTCGAGACTCGTCCCAGGCATCTCCGCCGGAGCGGGGGTAGGTCGCCTCGAACCCCAAGCCAGTCCCCGTCACGGTGCCAGCCATTGCGGGCAAACAAGGGGCCAGGGCCCCGGTGGTGGATCTCAGACGACTCAGCTGATCCTTCAGAGGTATCGGAGGGGCGGGGACATGCTTCGGCCGAATTCGGCAAGGCTGAGCTGGCAAGAAATGCCCAGAAGGAGGCTCTCGCCCGCCGCTGCCTCTATGTTGAGAGCCTTACCGCCCGATCACCGTCACATGCCGCCCAGGCGCCTCCCCGCTCCAACTGTCCTTGCTCAACTTCTAAACTGCCTGCCCAGCGGCCCTTGCAGCGGGCTGGTAGGCTGATATCAGCGCAGTGGACTGTGTTGTGCTCGATCCGATGATTTGGGCGGCGTAGGAGCCCGAGGTGTGCAGAGGGCGATACACTGGCTGGCGGGCCCTGTGCAGCCCAGAGGCCTTGCGGGGGCAGCCACGTGACGTATGCTGGGAGCGGGGAGCAGGGCCAGCTGCTGAGAGGCGGGCGACGGCGGTCGGTGCACCACCGCCTTGCGCCTGGCCAGACCTCCTCGTGCTCTGGCTGGCAAAGACGCTGCGCTCCCCTGCTGATCTTTTGCAACCGGTGCTGCAGGTCTGGACAGCATCATATCAAGGCTGCGGGAAACACCTGGCGCCAGAGCCGCCGACGGGCTCCCGGCGCCATGTCATTCCTGGGTGGCGGCTTCGACCTCACGGCGGGCCTGCAGGGCCTGCAGCAGATTGGCGACCGCTTCACGCAGCTGAGGGATGAGCTGGAGCACAGCATAGAGGAGACCATCAGATCAGAGCGCTTTGGGGGGCTGCCAGGTGGGGGTGGGGGTGGTGCTGCTGCTTCACTGCACGCATGGCCTCGAGTACCGGCCACTGGAAGCCCGGGGCAACAGCTACACGTGCCGACTATTCACAGAGGCTGCTCGCCGCTGTGTTCTGTTTGTGCGCGCAGGAGCGGAGGATGAAGCAGGGGATAGCAGCGAGGCAGGAGCCGTGGGCTGGGGGGGCTCAAATGCTGGCGGGTCGCCGGTTGCGCTGGAGGCACCAGGCGCCGTTGGCGACGACTCGCTGCCGCCTGAGCTGCTGCAGTCGGGCAGCAGCAATGCAGCAGAAAAGGCAAAGCCTGCCGGCAAGCCACAGGCAGCAGCAGCGGCAGTGGCAGGGCCGTCGCCAACAGCAGCCCCTGCTATTGTGGCCAGCAAGCCGTGGCAGGATTCCTCCTCGCAGCGGCGGCAGCATCCCCCTGGCAGCAGCCGCCCGGCCGCAGCCAGCCCACGCTCGCCCACCAAGCCAGCGGTGGCTGCACTGCCATCCAGTGAGCCGGCCCCCAGTGCATCGCCGGCTGCTGCGGCACCAGTGGCAGCGCCCACGCAGCAAGCAGCTGTGCCATCAGCAGCAGCAGCAGAAGATGAAGAAGGACCGGCAGCAGCAGGGCTAGGGTCCGCTGCTGCACCCGCTGCTGCGAAGACAGCGTCTTCAAAGCAGCAGGCACAGGCAGCGGCCACACCTGTGGAGGCAGCAGGCCAGTCTCCAAAGTCAGGTGGCGCTCCCGCTGCTGCTGCTGCAGCTGCCTCCCCCAGTGCCGCGCTGCAGGCCTTTGAAGCTGCAGCGGCCACACCAGCTCTACCAGCTGCTCCCGTGCCCCCAGCAGGACCAGCAGCAGAACCAGCAGCAGCAGGTGCCCCAGCAGGCACAGACGTGGATGCCGCAGCGCCATCTGCGCCGCCTCCTGCAGCCCAGCCCAGCGCGGCACCGGCGCCGGCAGCGCCGGCCATGGCGCAGCAGGCGCCGCAGCCTCCGCTGCCACCGGCAGATGCGGCAGAGGACGAGGCGGCGATGGATGCGCCGGCGCTGCGGGCGCTGGTGCTGCGCCTGCGTGAGGCGCTCAGCGTGCGGGAGCGCCAGATTGAGCGCAAGGCCGAGGAGGTGGCACAGATGGCGGAGGTCGCGGATGCGCTGCAGAGGCGCAACGCTGAGTTGGCGCATGCCAGCAAGGAGGGGGAGGCGGTGGCGGAGATACAGAGGTGGGTGGCGGTTGGGCGCGGGGTGAAACGCAGCCCAGCAGGAGGCAGCTGCCAGCTTGTTTTGCGGTGCCCGCACGGCTGCCGTGGGCCGCGCACGACCCTGCTGCCAAGGGAGCTGTGCGCTGTGCATGACCTGTGTGCTGCGTGTGCTGTGCTGCTGGGCGTGCAGCGAGTTTGAGTCCAAGCTCAAGGCGGCTGAGCGCAAGGTGTATGCCCTGACCAAGGAGCGGGACGCGCTCAAGTGAGGCCCCTGCATCATGCACACCTCGCAGCTTAGTCCTGGCGCCGCTAATAGTTCCTGGCGCAGCCGCTGCCGGCGCAGCTGAGCCCTTGCCCTGATGCCCAATTCCTTCGGCTTCCTGCCTCGGCGCCGCCACACACACACACACACGCGCGCCTGCCCCTCCCTGCAGACGCGGCTCTGAGAAGCTGTCTGGCATGGATGACCTGGTACGGGAGAAGGATGCCATCATCAAGCAGGTGTGGTACGAGGCGGTACTGATGGCAGGTGGTACAGTCGGCGCATGCCGCAGGCGGCCGCGCAGCCAGCCAGCTCGGCGTGGTGCCTGCCGCCTGCCGCCTGCTACCTGCGCCTTGACTGCACGTCCCCCGCGCGGCTCGCCCGCCTGGCCCGGCGCCGCCTGCAGGTGATGGAGGAGGGCGAGGCGCTGAGCCGCAAGCAGCTGGCCCAGGAGCAGACGATCAAGAAGCTGCGGGGGCAGGCCAAGGAGCTGCAGGGGCAGGCCAGGGAGCTGCAGGCGGCGCTGGATGCGGAGCGCGCCAAGGCGGCGTCGGCGGTCAGCGAGCGGGCCAGCACCGCGGGGGAGCTGTACTCCATCAGGGAGCAGCACGCGGCGGAGCTGCAGGCGGAGCGGCAGCACTATGAGCGGCTGCTGGAGGTGCGGCGGCCCGCGGCGCCCGTGCGCCTCGCCCTGCCCCGCCCCGCCTCGCCTCGCCCCGCCCGCCCGCATCCGCACCGGCGGCACAGGCAGCGGCGCCTGCTTGCTGCGGCGTGGCGCCGGCGCCCGCTGCCGGGGTGTTTGCAGCCGAAGTGGCGGCCGCTGTGCGTTGCGTGCTGAGCCTCTGCCGCTGCTGCCCCGCGCCCGTCCTCCACAGGAGTCGCGTGAGGCGCAGGCGGCGGCAGAGGCTCGCGCGGCGGAGGCTGCCAAGGCGGGTGCTGCGCGGCGGCTGAAGGAGGCGGAGGCGCGGGTGGAGTCTCTGGAGGGGACGGTGGGGGAGCTACGGGCGGAGCTGGAGCGGCAGGTGGGGCAGGGGGCCTAGGATCCGCGCTGGGGGCGGGGGAGGCATGGCGCTGGCGCCAGGCGTGGCTGGGAGCGGGGAGCTGGGCGCCGCGTGCGGTGCGTGCTGGCGTGCGCAGGTGGCTGCGGCGACTGCAGGCGTGTGGCTGCACCGCTGCCTTCAGTAACCACCGCCCCGACCCTGTGCGTGGCCTCCCCCTCGGGCCCTGCTGCAGCGCGCGACTGCCGACGAGCGGGAGGAGCTGCTGGCTGGGGAGGTGGCCGACCTGCAGCGGCGGTGCGCCGAGGCAGAGGCGCGGCAGCAGGAGGCGGCGGCGCGCGTCCCGGAGGCCACCCAGCCGCTGATGCGCCAGCTGGAGGCCATGCAGGCGGCGGCCAGCCAGCAGGCGGCGGCGTGGGCGGAGGCGGAGCGCGGCCTGCAGGAGCGGCTGCGCGGCGCCGAGGCGGCGGCCGCCGCCGCTACCGCCCAGGCGGCGCAGCTGGGGCGGGAGCTGGCAGAGGCCAGGCAGCACCTGGCAGCGGCCACCGACCAGGTGTGTGTGTGTGTGGTGTTGGGGCTGGTGCATGTGTGTGGATGAGGCTGGTGCTTGCCTGCCAGGCCTTCCTCCTGCACCGCGCAAGCCCACCCCGCCCCGCTGCCTCCCCGGCGTGCCTCCCGCAGCTGTCCTCGGCGCGCCGCTCCCTGGCCGAGGCGCAGCAGAGCGCGGAGATTGAGCGGCAGCGGCGTGGGGCGGCGGAGACGACCGCGGGGCACCTGCGCTCCGACCTGGCCTCCGCCCAGGACTCGCTCAACACATTGGAGAAGGTGCGTGGCTGTGCCGTGTGTGTGTGTGTGTATGTTTGTCTGGCTGTGTGGAGGGGTGGCCTGTGGATGTGACAAGGGAGGTAGGGCCAGCGTGGGACAGGAGCGGCAGCTGGCGGAGGGCCCCGTCTGCCCTGGCTCTTGGCACCCTGGTCCACCCCTGCCTGCCTGCCTGCCTGCCTGCCTGCCTGCCGCCCGCTGGGCCCCCCGCCCGCGCAGGTGTACGCGCAGCAGATCGAGTCGCTGCAGGCGCGGGAGTTGTCTGCGCTCAGCGCCGTGCGGGTGAGCAGGGTGCTGTGTTGGTGGGGGAGGAGAGCAGGGGCGCGGGCAGGAGGCCCCAGGGGTGCCGACTGCTGTTGGGCAAGTGCAAGCTGCTGCCTCGCCGCACCCAGCCACCCTGCCCTGGCCTGGCGGGGCTGGCTTTGACCAACCCAAAACAACACAACACAATCCTTTCCACCCCGGCAGGCTTTGGAGGGCAAGATGAAGGCGGCCAACGGCAGCGCCGACGCGCCGCCCGCGCTGGCGGCCCCCGGCTTCAAGTGGCTGCTGGTCAAGGAAGGGCAGGAGGCTGCTGCCGCCGCTTCTGCCGCCCCCATCCGCCAGGCCAGCTCCGTGGCCGCAGCCTCCAGCTCCGAGGAGCTGGCAGCAGATGCGGCTGCAGCTGCGGCCGAGGATGAGAGCTTGAAGGTGGGCGGCAGCCTGCTGTGGGGTTCCGCGGCTGCCAGCCGCTCCAGCCTGGCGGCAGACGGCGGCGGCACGCGGCCACGCGACCAGCAAGTGGCGGCGCTGCAGCAGCAGGTGCGCCAGCTGGAGGCCACGCGGGACCAGCTGTCGGAGGAGCTGGTGCGCGCGGCCACCGAGGCGGCGGCGGGACAGGCGGCGCGGGCGGGCGCGGCGGCCGCCGAGCGCCGCCTGGCCGACCTTCAGGAGCGGCTGGCGGCGGCGGTGGAGCTGCTGGGGGAGAAGGAGGAGCTTCTGGAGGAGGCTCAGGCGGACATGGAGGAGATGCGGGCCAACTACCGCCAGCAGATTGAGTTCATGGCGCAGCAGCTGACGTCGGCGCAGGAGCGGGCCGAGCCGCCGCCGGCGGCCTCGCCGGCTGCGCAGTAGCGGCTGGGCGCCCAGCCTGGAATTTCTTGCTGTTTCTTGAAGCACTGAAGCACCCACATTTAATGGAACACCAGATCCACCCATCTCCCAGCAAGTTTACCAACCATCTCGGCGCCTGCCAGCCTGGCCACGTGGTATCCCCTGATATTTGCGCGTATTCTGCGGCGGAGTCGCCGCTTGCCGCATTCAACCCAACCATCGGTGCAACTTTGCTCTTTCACGACGCGCAGAGGCCCTGACACGCACACTTGTGCACACTACCACACATTGGGCCACCCACACCCTCCAACAGAGCCTCCGACGCCTCGAGGAGGGCGCTTGGTGTTGGGAAAAGCAATGTCAGCTGTTGGGAGGCAGGCCGGCCACAATGACTCTGCCTGAAGCGGGTGTGGTGGGCGGCGGCACAGCCGTTGCCGCCGTTGGCCGTTCGACCGGCAGCACCCCCACGCCAGGCACGGCGGCAGGGCTCAAGCCCCCACCTCCCTTGTTGCCCTTTGGCCCCACTCTGCACTACTCAGGTGGGACCGGTCAAGGTTCATTTGGGTGGTGGCGCTTCCCGCCGCCACGGTGTGGACGGCCCGATTGCCGGTGGTCCGCACCCCACCAATTCGCAGCAAGGTTGTTGTCTGCTTGTGCTTCAGGTTGCGGATGCCCCTACAACTGGGCCCCCGGATGCCGCCTGTGCGACTGGGGCGACAGCTGGCTGCAGCAGGCGCACAACAGCCTGGGGCCGCGCAAGGGGGAGGCGGCTCGGCTGGCGCCCATCCGCAAGCTCAAAGTCGCCTACTGCATACCCCACGCCAACGTCACAGGAGGCCTCAAGATGCTGCTGGAGCAGGCAAGGGCCGCCGCTGCCGTTGGCTGACAGGCTGCCGCCATTGGGGGGTGTGGGGGAAGGCTGCCATGGTGCCCCGGCCTGGCCCGGCCTGCTGATAGCTTCCCTGCCACCACGTGCGACACCCACCCCTCCCTCCCACTCCCTGCAACAGATGCGGCTGCTGCGGGAGCGGGGCCACACTGTGGTGGCACTCACCCGCTCGGAGCTGGCAGACACGGCGGTGCCGCCCTGGAGCGATGTGCAGGCGAGTGGCCGGGCCAGCATCCGCGGTAGCAGCCTCATGCTGTCGCCACGCAGCGCCGCTGCCGCTTGCAGCCACCCGCCCAAAAGCCTGTTCGGCCAAGGCCCTCACTGCCCCAGCCCGCAGTCATCACGCCCCCCGCCTCCCTGCCTCCTCTTTGCCGCACACCCAGCCCGCCCCGCGCGCACACCTGCCGCAGGTGGACGCCGACGTGGTGTGCCGGCTGGGGCAGCGCTTCCGTGATGTGTATGACGTGGACTCCTGCGACGTCGTGGTCACAGGCATCTTCCACCAGGTGCGTGTGGGGACAGGGTGGTGGTGTGCGCGTGTGGGGGGCGGGTGGGGCAGGGTGGCGGTGTGCGTGTGGGTGGCGCGCTGGCGGGCTGGCCCGCGAGCGAGGTGCGGCGCCCTGCTCCACCACCGCTGCCTGCTCCACCACCACCACCACCACCAGCCTGCTCCACCAGCGCGCCGACAGCCTGCCCCAATCCCCCTCCGCATCAGCGCCACCCCTGCCTGCTGTGCGCCGCAGGTGCCCGAGTGGCTGACCAGCACCACCGCCCCTGTGCTGTACTACGAGCAGGGCCACGAGTGGCTGTTTGGCGACCCGGTGCGCTTCCGCGAGGCGGGCAGCTGCCGCGCCCAGGACACCCTCTTCCACCAGGCCATGCACCTGCCCGTGGCGCTGGCCGCGGTGTCGGGTGAGCGCCCTGGGCTGGGTGGGGTGGCCGGGCATATGGCAGGGGTGTGGGAGCCGTGAGGCCAGGCCTGTTGTGGCGGAAGCCGGCCCGCAGGAGGAAGGCCGCTTGTGCACCTGAGCCGCCATGCTGGCCAGCCCGTGCGCTGCGCCCGACTGCTGCCTCGCCGCCCCGCTCTGCCCTGCGCTGCAGAGGCGGTGCAGAGCATCATCTGCAAGGAGTTTGGGCGGGCCTGCATGCTGGTGCACAACGGAGTGGACTGCGCCCGCTTTGAGCCGGGCCCACCTGCCGCCGACATCCTGGCTGCCCCCACCAAAGTGCTGACCTCCCCTGCCTACCAGGTGTGGCAGCCAGCATGCCCGAGAGTTTGGGCCAAGCAGCCGACCTTGATTGCGCAGAGCGTGCCGCAGCGTTGCCGACCTGCAGCATGCCTTCGCTGGGTGCTGCTCCCACCATGGCCCCCGCCTCCCTCCCCGCCCCCCCTCCCGCCCGCAGCCCCCGGCCCCGGGCGAGCGGCGGCCCTCGGTGCTGCTGGTGGGAAACCCCGGGCTGGCGCTGAAGGGGTTTGACTGCGCCATTGCCACCCTGGGCCTCGTCAACCGCAGCAGGCTTGTTGAGGTGCACTGGGTGTGCCAGCAGGAGCCATCCAGCCAGCTGCAGGCCCTCGCCGACACCTGCAGCCTGCGCATCAGCCTGCACATCAACCCGCCGCAGGTGCACACACTGCCGTTGTGCCTGCCTGCTAGGCCAGAGCTACCTCACGCCTCTGCCATGCTCTGTCACGTCTGGGAATGATGGCAAGCACAGCATGCCTCCGCGACCCAGCTTTCTTCAGCACAGCCCCGTACCACGTCCCAAAGCCATCCCATTGTTTGCCTGCAGGACCGCCTGCCACAGCTGTACCGCGGCCACGACTGCCTCCTCTTCACCAGCCAGTATGAAGCCTGGGGCATGCCGGTGAGCGCTCACGCCCGTGCCAGCACCCCCTGCCAGCCGCCAAGGCCTGTGTCAGGCAAACAGGAATGGGCAGCAGGTTGGCCCGGCGGTGGCGCTGGGCAGCACCGGTCCCAGCACTGACCCGCCCCTTCTCCTCTCCCCTGTCCTCTCCTTGGCAGGTGCTGGAGGCCATGGCTTCAGGGCTGCCGGTGGTTGCCACCGAGACTGCGGGGGTGGGGTCCTTTGCCACCCACAACCTCAACTGCCTGACGGCGCCGGTCGGGGATGCCGCTGAGCTGGCGCAGCGCGTGCTCAGCGTGCTGGAGGATGCCCCGCTGGCGGCGCGCCTTGCGGAAGCGGCACGGCGCACCGCGCAGGCCTTCACCCCTGCCCGCGTGGTGGGGCAGCTGGAGCGGGTGCTGTACAGCATGACGGCATGCCGGCAGGAGCTGATGGCGCTGCGCCTGCAGGCGCTGCCCGACTCGCAGCAGGCGGCGGCCTCCGCGGTCAAGGCCTGCGCCGGCGTGGCCGCCACGCAGCAGGCGCAGAAGCGGGCGCGCCACCGAGAGGACGAGGGCGGGCAGCAGCAGCAGCAGCATGCAGGGCACGCCCTAGGCGCGCTGCGACGGCGCTCGCATGTGATGGACATGTGGCAGCCGCAGCAGTCGGCGCAAAGGGAGGGCGTGCCTGAGGAGCAGCAGCAGCGTCAGCAGCAGCAGCAGCAGCAGCAGCACCACCACCACCAAGCACAGAAGCAGGAACAGGAGCAGCGCCCGCCAGCAAGCGGCAGCTTGGAAGTGCAGCAGCGCCCGGCGCCTTCCGACTCGCAAGCGGGGCGGGACCAGCAGGCCTCGCAGCTGTCGCAGCAGCCTCCGCTTGAGCCGAGGCCCTCGCTCAGCGGGGAGCAGCAGGCATCGCAGCCGTCACAGGGGGAGCCTGCTGATCAGCAGAAGGCCTCGCTCAGCGGGGGGCTGCCGGCGTATCATGTGGCATCGCAGGCGGATGAGGTGACCAGCTGCGAGGTGGTCCGTGTGGAGGTGGGCAGCTGCGAGGGGGCAGCCGCCCAGCAGCCCGGACGCTGCGTCTTGCCTGCTGGAGCCATTTTGCTGGCAGTGGATGTCGGGCATCCCTTGGCCGCCGCCCATCACCACGCCATCAACAGAGCCAGCGAGTTTTGCCAGGCCCCCGGTGCGCGCGAGCGCAGCCTGGCCACTTCCTCTGGCTGATCACTTGGCATGCGCTGCACGCACGTGGAACACCCGAACGCACGACCTCTGGCAGCGAGAGCTCATTTGAACGAACACGAATGCATGTGCATCCCCAACCCAGCAATTTCATCGCTTCCTTACCCTCCACCCATCAATCAATTCTGCATATTCACACTCTCTACACCTTACTTACAGTCCCTGCAACAGACTCCTCTGCTCCTTTTCTATCTCGATTCATTCCGGCTCTACTGTATTTGTTCTGACTCCGGTTTCTCTATCTGCACCTTGTTTTCTCGAGGAGGTGCACTACTCTACGCTCTCTACTAACGGAGTGCCCTGCTGTAAAGCAGTTGTGTGTATGGGTCGGATGCGGTGCGGTGTGCAACCGGCGGATGCGGTGCGGTGTGCAACCGACGTCACATGTCGACATGCCGGCGGGATATTGAACCTAGCGCCAAATCCCAGGAGGCGTTGTGCATTTATATTGGCAGATCCGCTCAAGTACCTCAGGCCGCAAATCGAGATGACATGGGTGGGGTAGCGGCGACAAGCAAGCGGCGCTGCGGCGGTACGCCTGCCTGTGCCGAGCTGGCGGGCCGTTGGAGACACGGCGTGTGGTGGCGCAGCATTCGGTGCAAAACTGCATGAATTTGCTGGCAGCCCGCAGGAATGCGAGGGGGCCCCAGCCCGACTTGCCCGGTGACCCACCCCCGCCGCCTCCCCAGCCACCGCAGGGCGGATCCCAGCAGGCGGGCCCCAGCGCACCTTCAAGGATGATGACGCTTGCCCGGCGGCGGCGGCAGCGCGATGACGGATCAGCAGACGCAGCAGACAGGCGCACTCGGCGCAGGCAGAACGATGCCGCAGCGGATCGCCCGCCGACTCGGCGCGGCAAACGGCAGGCACCACAGGATGTCCCCAGGCAGGCGAAGCGCCGCGCGGGCGCAGCGGCAGTGAACGCAGTGACGAGGGTGGGGTGGGGAGGGGGAGCGGCGGGGCAGGGGACGGCCACGGCGGCGGCAGCGGTGGCGGCAGCGGCTCCAGCAGCAGCAGCTGCAGCGGCGGCGCTGGCGCAGGTGGCGGGGAGGCGGGCAGCGGCGGCCAAGAGGCGGCGGCTGATCGATCCAGGCTGACCTGCACCTTTGTTCCCCCCCGTTTTTACACACGGGAGCCAGGGGCTTGAAACCCCGTTTCCTCCCAGTACGGCGAAGTACAAATCACGCGTCCCGCGTATTCTTCTTCTTCTTCTTCTTCTTCTTCTTCTTCTTCTTCTTCTTCTTCTTCTTCTGCCCAACGATCATACATACACACCCGCAAGCTGATGGGAACCCCGTGACGGCTGAATTTCTGGTTGTCCGTCTGCCTCTCCGCCGGGGCATGTATCTATGTATCTACTATTTGCAGCTGCTCTGGCAATCGCCATAGCTGCCACCCAGCTGCAGCTCAGTGCCGCACAGCGCGAGGTGCCCGCTCCTCGCAACGGCAACCCAGACTGGCGCCGCTGCTGGAGCAGGCAGCTGCGGGAATTGAAGGCTGCAAAGAAGAGGGGCAAGGTGCTGCGGTCGCAGCGAGCGAGCCTGCAGAGCCCTGCTGAACCGCTGTTGGCGGGTGGTCGGCGGGCGGCGCCTGGTGGGCGGGCATGCACGAGTTGGTGTGCTGCTGTGGTCCATGCAGGGCTATCAGCTGCTTCTCTACGGCGACAGTTTGGCTGAAGCCTGGCGTGGCACAGACCACTGCAAACCATGCGACGAAACGATACGGACCACCTGCAAGGGGGCGCCCGAGGTGCTCCAAGCCTACTTTGGAAGGCGGTGGCGTGTGGGTGTGGCAGGCATTGCTGGCGATCAAGCGGCCAATCTCATTTGGCGGCTGCAGAACGGGCAGCTGCCCACATCGTCTTTTCAAGTGAGGGCACACTCCTGCCGCACACCGCTGCTTGGCTGGGTCGTTCCTACACTGGGGAGGTGCCGGAAGCCCGCGAAGTTACTTCGCTTGACCTTGCCTGGGACGCTTTGTCATTGCTGCTGCCGACCACTGCAGCCCAGAGTCGCGATCCTTTTCATTGGGACGAATGACCTTGGAGCCGCTGCATGGGGGAAATCCGTGCGACGAGCAGCTAGGGCGCTGAAATCGGCGGTGCCTGGAGTTGCGGAAAGGTGGGAAAAGAATGCTTTTGCCATTCCATTTTGTGCCGCCGCCTGTTCTTCATCGTACACAGGCAATCCATCTCTTTTTGCCATTGGCGGCTGTTTGCAGGGTGCAGCAGGCGGCGCAACTTATACGGAGCGAGATGCCCTCCACTCAAGTGGTGGTGATGGCGCTGCTTCCACGTAGCACGAACAGCGGCACCGGCATTCCCGTGCAGCAGAATTCACACAGCTGGCCGTCCATTTACACCAATGCACTGCAGCAAGTCAATGCGCGGCTCAGGTGCGCCCGCCGGCACAGCTGCAGCGGGCGGAGTTCTGCTGGGCCTGTCCCTGCCATGTCCATCATGTGCTCCTGCTGCTGCAGGGACTACACGCGGCTGGACGGCAAGCTGCACTTCCTCGACTGTGGCGAGCGCTTCCTGACCCCCGACCGCCGCGCCATCGATGCGCGGCTCATGCCAGACGCGCTGCACCCTGGCCCCGCAGGCCACAGGGTCTTGGCAAAGTGCATGAGAGGTCTTGTCAGCAAGCTGATGCGCTAGCTCTTTTCAGGGAAGCTTGCTCTCACGCACGACATTGACACATTCTTTGCCCCCATTTTACTTTTCGCCTGATTCGTTCCAATGCGTTGTTGTAATATGCAAACTCCTAATGCTCCCTGGCACCGCAATAGGAGCAGCGATTAACCCCAGCTGGCAGCCAGCAAAGGGCGTAGCTTGGCACGGATACCATATTGTAAGGATGGTGTCATGGGTGGAGCACCTTTAATCGCAGCTGGCACCCCAGCATGCCAGCCGTCGATGCGGGGACGCAAGAAGTCAGGCGGGTCGGTGTCGGTGTCGGTGGCCCTCCAGTGTTGGTGCCGCCCCATCCGGATTCCGCCCCATCCGGATCCAGTGTTGGCCTCCTCCACATCCATAGAGCTCTGGAAAAGCCTGATCTTTGCCATGAAATGAGCTCTCGACGTACAGATTGCGCAGCCGACACAACTGCACTTAATAAAGAACCATTGCCGATGGACCTGCCAGCAACCAAGGCTCTTGTCGCACCACACATCTTGTCATTAGCGTAGAGCAAAGCTTGTGTGCTCGCCGAAGGAGTCGTCCGTGCGCGCCACCTCTGCTGGCAGCCAATTGTGCTGAGGCGAGCATGTTACAACAGTGCATGTAGCGTGGTGGCCATTTCTGGCAGCTGCAGCAGCCACCAGGCATGAGCGAGGCACTGTGCGGCCACCTGCCCCACGGCAGTCGGGACCACAATGTGCAGCCAGACGGCGCCCAGGACGCTGCAGCAGCTGCAGCAGCCGTGGACCCCGCAGCCGCAGACACCGCCGCCACTGCGCCGCAAGCAGAGGCACGGCGGCGGCTCGCCTTTGAGCGGCGGCTCATTTCGGTGGGCCTCTGCCTCCACTGCGCCACGCAAATGGTGGCGTTGCTGGGCTGGAGCTCTCTGTCCACCAGCGAGCGCTTCCAGCGTTGTTTGAGCGTTGTGTTTAGCGCCACCCTGCCCCTCCTTACCTGGCTGGCTCCGGCGATGTACCTGCGCCGCCGCACGGCCATCCTGTTCACGTGGCGCGTAGGTTTTTTCTCGTTCCCCCTCTTGCGGCAGGCACGCGGTGAGAGCGCCGTCATGAATCCAGGCACCCGCTCGCTGCTCCGCTGCCGATCACATGCTAAGAGTCTGTGTTGGCTTGGCTGATTGGCCCGCCCGCCCGCACTGCAGGCATCCAGCGTGTGCTAGAGTCGGCGCCGGGTGTGGGCCTCCATGGCATGCTGCTAGACCTCGCCAAAGTCGCATGGGGTAAGCTAAGAGGGGTGCCTGCAATGCGCTGCCTGCCCACCAGCGGCGCCCACTGCCGCTGCGCTCTTGTGCCCGACGCGAGCTGCCCCATATTGTCCCTGCGTGCAGGCAGCCGGATGCTGGCGGTTTTGCTGGCTCCACTCGTCATGCCCCTGCCACTGGTGCCCCACCTGCTGGCCCAGCTGTACAGCGTGGCCATGATTGGCAACAACCGCAGCCTGTGCAGCTCGCCGCTGCTGGCACACCCCACGTCGGCGAATCGCATCCGCCTCTTCCACCACCTCATGTCCTTTGCCGCCTCCCCAAGCTGCGCGCAGCCGGCAGACGTGCTGCTGCGCAACAGCAGCCAGCACCAGCAGTGCTGCGCCTTTGTTGGCTTCCTAGGTTTGCTGCTGGGGCTGGTGTGCACCACGGTGGGCATGGTAAAGCTGGAAATGATGAGTGCGGTGGGCGGTGTGGGCGGCGGTGCCGCCGGCGCCGGCGCCGTGCCCGCCACCAGCAAGTCGGGGAGCCTGCTGGAGCGCAGCGTGCGCCAGCTGGCGGGGCGCAGCTGGTTTCCTGCGGCGGCAGCCGAGGGCGCGACCACCCAGGCGGTGCGGCGCTCGGATGGCGGGGCCAGCTTGGCAGCGGAGGGCGACGTCGCCGCCCTGGCGCCCAACCTCACCCACCTGCCTCGCCCCGTGTTGTGGTGGCTGTTGCTGTGCTGGGTCTGGATTGTGGTGGTGGCCCTCAGCTGATCTTCGGTTGTAAAAGTATCGCCTACTGCCCTGCTTGATGTCGTTGAGATGCCTACAGCAGTGCTGTTTTGTATTCAACTCATGTTTCTTTACACCTTCTGTAGAAAACAAGCATGTCATGCCCAGCACGAGGCTCACCTCATGGCACGAAGTTGGCCACCGTGGTGCGCAGAATGAGCCACAGCAGCTGGGCGGCATAGGCCGTCATCATCAGCGGCCGCTCGCCCAGCACACGGTCGAGCAGCTTTGTGGTGCGGCCGCGCCTGCCCGCGCCCCCTGCTTGCCGCTGCTGGGCCCACAGCAGCGTGGCGGGCAGCAGGCCGCCCACCACCACCTGGGTCCACAGCGAGCAGGCCAGGCAAGCGGCGGTGGGGGACAGGGCTCCCCGGCTCCTCCACAGCTCCAGGGGCGTGACCAGATGGAAGGGCCTACAGTGGGACAGAGGAGAGAGCCCCCCCGGGAACCAGTGGTGGCAGCGGCAGAGCGACTGTGGGTGGGCGCCAAGCATGCGTCGCAGCGGGCGAGTGCCTCCTTCCCGCGGCTCACCAGTCCAGCAGGTCTTGCATGGTGGAGAAGAGGGAGGCGGGGAAGTGGGCCAGGAAGGACCCGGGTGCTGGGCTGGCCGGTGCCGGCGCCACGCACCGGCTGAGCGTCTTGGGCAGCGCGGCCACGTGCTGCAGAAATGCCAGCACAAAGTGCGTGCCCAGCGGGACGGGATAGCCAGAGTTCACAAAGAAGGAGGGGAGGGCGGAGGTGTAGATGAGGAAGGTGGCGGGGTTGGTGACGCAGGGGGCCCGGGAGGTGGCGGCGGGCATGGCCGCTTCATACGGGATGCACAGGGACAGCGCCAGCGCGGCGCGGGTGGCCAGCGCCAGCGCTGCGCGGTGCCGATGGTAGCGGTGCCGGCTGAGCAGGAAGAGCGTGGGGGCCAGGGCGGCCCTGGCCAGGCTGTGCAGGTGGATGGCCAGCGCGTCGCCGCCCATCATTCCAGACGTCATTCTGGCGACCATCAGGCCGGCCACCACGATGCCTGCCACCACATCAATGCCGGGGCCCGCTGACGAGTCTCTGGGCATGGCTAACCGACACTTGTCAGAGAGTGCGCCTGCAGCGGAGCAAAACAGCACAGGTATGGGCACACCGCATCGATGCGGGGCCTCTCCCGCCCGCCACGCCGCCGGCCCTCTCTGCACCTCGCCGCTGCAACCCCCATGCCCTCTCTCGCCTGCCCCGGCCCTGCTCGCCTTCCCTCCCTTCCACCCGTCCCAAAGAGCCTGTAAGTTACCTGGGGAGCAGGTTCCCAAACGGGGGGCTCTGATGAGGCACCCCGTCTCACAAATGTGCTTCGCTGGGGGCCTCCCAAAGTAGAACGGGGGTGTTCACGCCGTCCACAGCCCTGATCAGCAAAAGACTTATATGTCAGGGCTGTAGGGACACATATGTTGAGATGGCTGGCCACTGGCTCCAGACAACAACGGTGGTCAGAGATCGATTGCCTTCACGATTGCAGCTCTCAATTACAGATTCCCTCACGAGGGCATGGCGCAGATCTCACCGCAGGCGCGTCCTTGGCCTCCCCTATGGGCATATGCACGCACTCGGAGATCAACATTGACATGGGGTAGTACTATAGGGGGCAGGGGAGTGCTCTCCATCAGGGGTGGAAGAATAGAAGGTTATCCAACCCCTCCCCGCTGCGGCCCTGCGCCGCAGGTTATTACCACATCTGGCAGGATCAAGCTTTTCTGCAAAGCAGCAAGTGATCTCCATAACGTAGAGGTTTTCTTTTCACGAATCGCTTCGGTTTTCTTCATTGATGCACTCACGCCTCCTTCGCGTCCGCCCCCTGGCCGCCGCTGCGCCCGCCCTCCGCCGCCGAGGCCTTCAGCGCCGGGCGCTGCATGAGCTGGGTGATGAGGGGGTCCAGGCACTCTGCCAGCAGCTCGTAGCCGGCGGGGCTGGGGTGCAGCGCGTCTGGCATGAGCCGCGCATCGATGGCGCGGTGGTCGGGGGTCAGAAAGCGCTCGCCGCAGTCGAGGAAGTGCAGCTTCCCGTCCAGCCGCGTGTAGTCACGAAAATGTGCGTTGGTCATGTCGAAAGGCTGCAGGCAGTGGGCAGCAACGGAGCGGGTGTGTGGGGGAGGGGATTCAGCAGGGCCAGGGATCAGGGCTGATCCACAGGGAGCAGTGCAGGGGCAAGGGGAGCCAGCTGGCAGCGGCGGCGCCCCACCTGGGTGAACACAGAGGGCCAGTGGAAGAAGCGGGCGCCGGGGCCGTTCCCGCCTCGGGGGAGCAGCGCCAGCAGGATGACGTGCGTGTCGGGCAGCAGATCCTTCATGGTGTGCAGCGTTTTCAGCACCCTGCGGAGCCAGGGGGCGGGCGGGACCGGGCAGAGCGTGGGCGCCCCGTGCAGCCAGGCGCAGCGGCTGGGCAGCGCAAGGCATGTGGCATGATGGCTCAAGCAAGGTGCGAGGCGCCAGCTATGCAGCCAGCCAGCGAGCCGGGGCACGCCCCAAGGGCAGCACCTGAGCGTCACGCCCGGCACTGCCCGCATCGTGGCCTCCTCGGCGGTGTGCACGTCGGTGGCCTCCCAGGCCGCCGCCCCCAAGTCGTTTGTGCCAATGAGCAGCACCGCCACCTTGGGCTTGTGCTTCTGCGGCACCTCGCCGTGCTGCAGGCGCCACATGAGGTGCGCCGTCTGGTCGCCGCCCACCGCCATGACGCCGGCATTGTACTTCGCGTAGTGCTTGGCAAACACGGCGGGCACACCTACGGCAGACGGGAACAACAAGGAAGCAAGGGGCTGGTGGATGCCTTGGGAGCTTGGTGCTGGGAGTGGGGGCAATGAATCAGCACAGCAAATGCGCAGCGTTAATACCTTGGCACCGCTCGCAGGGCGAGCAGAGGTCCGTCCCAGCCCAGGTCTCGGTGATCGAGTCCCCAAAGAACATGAGCCTGTAGCCCTGCACCGTGCACAGCCAGCGGTTGCTGAATTTCGGGCAGGGCTGCAAAACAGGCACCATGCAAGGCTGCAGGCGCAGAGGCGGCAGGCGCTCGCTGGGCGCCTGAACCCGCATCTCTTACCGCCTCCTCTTCTCCATCTGCCTTCTCAATGGTATCTACGTGCTGAGCGTGGCAGGCCACCCACCGGGGGTCTGCGGCCGGGCAGGATGAAAGAAAGCTCGCACTGATTTAGTGAAGAGACAAGGAGGCGGCAACAGTGAGCTGTGGCGGCGGGCGGTGGCAGCAGCCCAGTGGCAGCAGCCGCCTCGCTCATGCTCCGACATCCAGAACAGCCAGAACCTGCAGCAGAGGGAGAACTGCACGCCAGAGTGGCCGCTCACCGTCCCGTGGCGAGGGCTCTGGCACCACGTCGCAGACGTCCTTGTTGCAGGCCCGGGTTGAAGACAGGAACCTCCTGCTGCATCCGTGCAACATGTAACCGACCGCCAGCAAGCTGCAAGCCCACAGGGCGCCCGACCACCGAGCCATATCACGGCAACCTGAAACCGTTCAGCCCCAGCCCTGCCTGTGAAGCCTCGCAAACACGAGACTCTCCGAAAGTGCGCTGCGATTAAACGATGGCCGCCGCTCCAGGCTGGGCTCATCATGGGTGCTGGCCGTCCCGCTGGCGGTGCCGTGCATGCCGAGGTCACTCGAGGCAGAAAGGTGCTTGCAATGGGAGGCCCAAAAGGGTCGAGCGGCAGGTCATTAGAGAAAGGGGCAGCGATTCCATTGGGCCCAGGAGGGACAGTAGCCATGAAAGCTCACTCTGCCCTCTGGCATTGGCTGGCCTGGGTCGAGCCGGGCATGGCGGTGTGGGCAATAGCAGGTGCTGAGAGCATGAAAATACAAGCAGTGTGGAGGGAAAGCCGGAGAGCGGTTGGCTAGATAGAAAAGGTCGCCATGAGGTGGTAAGGAAGGGCTAACAGCTCAATACCGCCCCCTGCCCCTGCCCCCACCAAAGCCCCTGCCGCCACCACCAAAGCCCCTGCCGCCTGGACTGCGCCCGCCAAAGCCGCGGCCGCCGCCCCTGCCGCCCCCAAAGCCCCTGCCGCCGCCAAACCCGCGGCCGCCGCCCCTGCCGCCGCGGCCGCCGCCGCGGCCGCCGCCGCGGCCGCCGGCACCAGGGGCGCCTTTGGGTCTCGGCAAGAAACGCTCAACCGGGAGCAGCTTCTGTGGCAGGAAACAGCAGCGACACGAACATGGAATCAGCCCCCCAGACGGAGCAAACCAGCACCATGCTCCGCAACGGTTGCCAACTCCGGCTGACGACACACTGGTGCTGAGCGCGCCACTCCTCCCCACCTCCTCCCCGCTTCCTGACACTGCCGAGCCCGCATGCCCTTGGCGCCACGCACTTCTGGCCCTGGCCCCACCCACCCCCACATCCACCCTCCCACCACCACACACACCACACACCTGCGGGTCGATGAAGAACTTGTCTCCCTTGCTGTAGGAGGTGGCCACCACGCCATCCGACACCTTGACCGTGAAGAACTGCAGGGCGGTGGGGGGGGGCAGGCAGTGGGCAACGGCAGTGGGCACGCGCGTGTGCGCGGGCATGCGGGTGTGCGCAGCGGCCGCGGCGCCGCCGGCCCTTGGCCCCGCCCGATGCGTCGAGCTAGGCCAGCAGCCAGCGCATCGGAGTGTGCATCGGCGTGTGTGTGCGAGAGGAGGGGAGAGAGGGGGAGGTGGCACGCACCACTGTGTTGATCTGCCCCAGGATTTCGTCCACCTTGCCGATCTGGGTCTTGTTCTCCAGGAAGATGGGGGCGTTGAAGTAGGGGATCTGCTCCACACGCACACCAGCACATACGCAGTAGAGTAGGGGTGAGGGGTGAGGAGGAGGGACAAAGGCAGGAAGGCAGCGGCACACACGGGGCAAGTGGCGCAGCCAAAGCGCACCATGGTGTTGGTCAGCTTGCACACCATCTCCCCCTCGCAGGGGTGCATGTACTCGCCAGCCTCCACCACCTCTGCACTTAAGAGACGCGAATTGCATTAGGCACAGCAGCCAGCAACGGCGACAGCGTGCCGCTAGCGGCTGCCCCGCCCGTAGGCAGCGACGTGCTGCAGAACGCACCCTCTGGGGGTCCCTCCGGTTGTCTGTTGTACCCTCCCCGTCCTCCAAAGCCGCCCCTACCGCCTCCACGCCCGCCACTGAACCCACCGCGGCCACCTGCACCGTAGCAAGGGATGCTGTGACGCATGCCGCCCTGTGCTGTCGGGGGCTGATGGAAGCACTATCCATGGGCGGGCGCTGTCCAAGCGCGGCGTGCAAGCAGGCAGAAGACCTGCTGGGGGCATGCATGTGCTGGGCGGGGTACGCTGCAACTGGCAGCCTTATCGCTCACCCCCGCCTCTGCCGCCAAACCCGCCGCCTCGCCCGCCCCGAGCAGGCGCCCGCATGCCCTTCTGACCACCTCCCTTGCCGCGAACAGGACTTGCGCTGCTTGTGCCGTGAAAGCAAGCTGGGTTCGAGCAGCAGGATGCGCCAGTAACGCCGATGACGCCGATTGGGCGCCAACAATCCCTGCACTGGTTGTCCACATGGCGGCGGCGCCAGCGAGGCGCAGAGCCGGCCCGATCATGATGTCTGCTCTTCAGCTTTCATAAACAGCAGCTTGCCTCCCTCACAGATCTTCTCACGCAGGCAGCACAAAGCCGCTGAAGCAGTTGTCCGGGCGGAGGTGGCGCGCCGCCGCATCCCGCACCTCGCCCGCCTCCAGCGCCTCGATGCGCCGCAGGTCGCCCAGCACGTTGCGCCAGTCACCTGTCAGCACCTGCTCCAGAGGGGAGGGTGGGGTGGGAGAAAAGGAGGCACTGGGTAACGGGAGGCGGCAGTCATCAACTGATTGCCCTTGCGGCATGCGGCTGGCGCACGGGGTGCGCACCTGGTAGCTGGACAGCGCTGATGCGATTGTGCTGTTGCTGCTCAGCGCACCCAGCAACTCCAACCTGGCAGACTGCAAGCAGCCAAGCGTAGGGGGTTCAGGGCAGGACAAGCGTGGCCAGCCAGCCTGGCCCCCCCTGCCAGGCACACCATCCGTGCACGCCTCGGTGCACGCCTGGTCAGAGGCCAGGCTGTGCTCTCGGGCACATTGTCTGCTCTGCCCATCCCCCGTGCCACAACGGCAACAGCACAGCGCCGCCTCCCCCACCTTCTTGTACCGCCGCAGCTCATCCGGGGTGGGCCCATCCCCCGCCAGCGCCGCCACCTCGGCACTGAGCTCAGCATCCAGCTGCTCTAGGGAGCTGCAGCGCAGCAAGCAACACGGCAGGGGAAGATGAGGAGCGGGTGTGGGTGTACCGACACGGTCTGGTTGGCCAGTCCCAACATGCCGCCACCCTGCCATGGTGGCCCTCCATGGGCGGAGGACAGCCGACCAGAGAAGGGGCAGGGACCCGCTGCCCGTTCCTGACCTCTGCTTGGTGGGGATGCCATAGACCACAAAGTGCGTGGGGTGCTTCTCAGCGGGCAGGCTGGCATATGCGCTGGCGGCCAGCGCCATGCCCGGCAGCACCAGCGAGCGGTAGAGGCGGCTGGACCGCGTGCCGCTCAGCAGATCGCTGCACACGGCGTCGGGCAGGGCAGCAACACAGAGTCAAGGAGGTGTCAAGCGCAGCGCGCAACGGCAGCGATGCCGGGCGTGCCGCTGCTGCCGCGCACCTGGCGAGGTCTAGAGGCACCGAGTCGGGGCTGCGGACGCAGGGCCGGAAGTAGGCGTGCAGCACGGCAGGCCCCGCCTTGGACCTCGCCTGGTACTGCCACTGGTCCCGTGGTACCTGCGGCACCGCCAGCGCCTCATCCCCGACCCCGCCGCCGGAGCAGGTGCTGGGTGGCTGGCTGCCGGGCGGCTGGCGCCAGGCGCCAAAGTAGCGCTCTGCCAGCTGGCGTATGGCGCCGGGCCGCACGTCGCCGGCCACAGCGATGGTGAGGCTCTGCGGCCCGTAGTGGCGCTGGAAGAAGTCCTGCACCTCTCGCCGCCCCAGGCGCTGGATGTCGTCGGCGAAGCCGATGACGGGGCGGCGGTAGTTGTTTGAGAAGCTGCGCAGCGCAAACTGCTCGGAGAAGGGGCCCAGCGGCGAGTTGTCCACCCGCAGCCGCCGCTCCTCCAGCACCACCTCCTTCTCGCTGTACAGCTCCCTGCAGGCCGGGCCAGGGGGCATACGCCCGGGGCGCCAGGCAGCAGAGCCTGGGTGAGATGCAGGGCAGGATGGCACGCAGCAGGGTGGCCTGTGCGCCGGCGCCGGCGCCGTAGCAACAGGATACCCCATGGCCCCTGCCGTGCCTGCCCAGCTCCCCTGCCTGCCGCCGCCCACCTGAACACGGGCTGCTGGAAGCGCTCGCTCTCCAGCGCAAACCACCTGCACAGCGCCAGCACGCTCAGCGCACAGCGACAGCGAATGCGATGCATGGTGCATGACACACACGCCAAGCACATGCTGGAGCGGTGGCAGGCTGCGCTCACAGCTCGGCTTTGTTGGCTGGAAGGGACACAAAATACTTGGTGGCATCATGGCTGGTTGCGGCGTTCAGCCCCACGCCTCCCTCCCGTGACACCTGCTCGGGCACAAGGGGCCAGCAGTGGTGCATGCATTGATTCCAAGGAGGGCCGGCAGCCCGAGGCGGTGGGTTAGAGCAGAAGAAAAAGAGCGTGGGCACACACTGGGCAGAGAGGACCCTCCACAGCACCTATCCAGGGGTGCGATTCAAGCCAGGCACTGGCACAGCGCACCAGCGATCCATAGGCGTTGGGGATGCTGAGTGCAGAGGCCTGCAACGAAAGCAACACACGAAAGTCGTTCGCCTCGTGTCTGGGTTTAGCACAGCCAGAGGGCTACCTCCACTTGTTGCCCACCTCCTTCTGCAGCGCCTCAAACTGCTGCTGCAGGCGGGCTCGCTCCCGCGGGCTGCCCGCCTCCATGAGTGAGTAGAACACTTCGTCCAGAGAGTCCAGCAGCGGCGCCTCGTGCCTGCGCGCCAGCAGCGGTGGCAGGCATCCCGCATGAGCATGCTGGTGGCACAGGCATGGATGCGCATGCCACCGGCAGCGGCGACGCACCTGTAGTCTGTTGTCCCCACGCGTGGCGTGCCCTTGAATGCCATGTGCTCCAGCAGGTGCGCCAAGCCTGGTCGGTGGCGGCCAGCAAGGCGGGAGGCAGGCCAGGGCAGGGTAAGTAAAACTGCAAATGGGCAACCCCTCATCAACCTGTACACCGTGCAACCATTGGCTGCCCCGAGTACAGCCGGCTGGTGCCCCGACCGCCAGGACCACCCGGTCTTGCGGTCCACCTCTCCGAAGCGGCGACCTCCGGCGTAGAGGTGAAACGACACGTGGGGGCTTGCGCGGCGCTCGTACACCAGAAAGCGCAGGCCATTGGTCAGGCTGAACTCCGACAGGCGCTCCCCCAGCTGCCGCTCCAGCAGCTCGCTGCCGCCGCCGCCGCCCGCCGCCGCCGCTGCCGCGGCCGCCGCCTGCGCATCGGCGGCCTGCGCGCTGCGGGCGGCCCAGGCAGCCAAGCTGCCGGCCGTGGCCAGGTGCAGCATGCCACGGCGGCTGGCGCTGCTGGGGCTGGCGTGAGAACTAGCTGCTCTGCTGGGGCTAGGGTTGGCAGCACCAAGGCTGCTGTGCTGAGGCTGTTGCACCATGCTAGCAGGATGGTCAAGTTGCTGTGGCTGCTGGTCACGGCTCTCACTGGCGGCGGCGGCGGCGCCGTCGCCGGAAGTGGAACAAGCCGCACTCGGACGGTCTCGGCTGCGCCATCGGATACAACACCCGTCGCCTGATCGGTGAGGCAAGGCCGGCTGGGCGCCTTGGAGAGCCCTGGCTGGAAGCGCCGAAATCATACAAGGGTGACGCCTGTGCTCAAGCCGGCGCCTTTCGATCAAAACAATTCAATTCAAAGCGTCGGGATGGGGTCCCAGGCGCTCAACTGGCCCAAGCATGTGGCAGTGCCAGCTCAACCTCTGGTTGCCAACAAAGAGCTCTATTGCGCCGTGATCGGCACCGATTGCTCCCTGTCCCAGTTCTGCTCGCCGATCACCTGCTAACGACACGCCTGAGCAGCTCGCCATCTCTGCCGCCTCTCATCCGAGCTCCTTCGGCTCAGGAGACTGAACGCTGGGCACCATGGCAGAGGAGCAGTGGCATCAGCGACCCCAAAACCCCCAAAACCCAGTTGTGTTCTTTGGTGAGTGCGCTGCTCGACTCGTGTGTTGCTGTCTGGCGCCCCTGCGACCTGCAGCGAGCCCTGGCATGGCATGCAATGTTTCAAATGCAACTCGCAGTGAGCTGTGCCTCGCCTGGGGTGCTTGCCGCCACCGCCGCCCCGCCACCGCCGCCGACGCGCACTGCCCTCGCGCTGCCTCCCTGGCGCTGCCACAGATGTGTCAATTGGCGGCGTGCCGGCGGGACGGGTAAAGATGGAGCTGTTTGCCGACATCGTGCCCAAGACGGCAGAGAACTTTAGGCAGCTGTGCACGGGAGAGTTCAAGTGAGCACATGAGGCGCAGCGGCGTGGGCAGCCTGGCTGGTGCAGCAAGCGGCAGCACAGGCTGATGCCTTTTGGTGCAAGCTGCCACCCGTCGAGGAGCCCGGCCTCAAACTTGGGGGTGCCGTTGCGCGCTTGACTCGAGCACGTGCCCGGTGTGCCCTGCGCCCCTGCAGGCGGAACCTGCAGCCCACCGGATACAAGGACTGCCCCTTCCACAGAATCATCAAGGGCTTCATGCTGCAGGGCGGCGACTTCCTTAAAGGTGACCCTGCTGGGCGTGCGGCGCAGTCGGCGCAGTGCCAGCTGTGTGTGTGTTGAAATTCACTGCAGCACGCGACCACACTGCCCATGCTCCGACCTGTCCCTTGGCGGATCCCACCCCCCTCTGTTGCGAACCGCGCTGTGCCGCCCTGCCCACCCTTCTCCTCGACAGGAGATGGCACCGGCTGCATATCCATCTACGGTTCGCGGTTCAACGACGAAAACTTCATCGCCAAGCACACAGGGCCCGGCCTGCTCAGCATGGTGGGTGCTACGCTGAGCCGGGCTGTGGCGCCAGTGGAGTCTGGCTCAAACTGCAGCCGGGAGAAGTATGGTGGGCAGGTTTGCAGCAGAGCCCACCAAGGAATAGCTTTGCCTGCCGCTGCCCTCCTGTGCGCAGGCCAACAGCGGGCCCAACACCAACGGCTGCCAGTTCTTCATCACTGTGGGCGCCGCCGACTGGCTGGGTGAGTAGTGACGTGCCGCCTGTCCGCCCTCCCGCTTGCACCTGCCCCATGCGGTGCCTGCCTATCCAGCACCTGATGGGCACCACCGCGCTGCGCCCACCCGCCTGTTTGCAGACAACAAGCACGTGGTGTTTGGGCGGGTGCTGGGCGACAGCATGCTGCCGGTGCGCAAGCTGGAGGCGGTGCAGACGGGGCCCAACAACCGGCCAAAGCTGCCCTGCGTCATTTCCCAGTGCGGCGAGCTGTGAATTCTAATTTTCATCGCAATCAAATTGTGAAAAGCAAAACAGAGGGCAGTAGCTACAGACAACCCACAGAGGCGGTGCAGACAGGTGGTGGGTGCAATCAAAGCGGCTGGCCCTGCCTGGGGGGTGGCCAGCTGGATCATATGGCAACCACGGGGAGGGAGGGGCCCCGTTCACCGCTCATCGCCAATCACGCCCTGCTGGCGCATCTCCTGGATGCGCCGCTGCTGCTCCTCCTCGCTCAGCTTGTAGAACTCAAACACAGACTTGTCTTGTTGCAGCAACATGGGAGGAGGGACAGGGGCAGCAGGGGAGGGCGTCAGGGCAGGAGCCAGCCACCACCTGCAGCTCCCTGTGTCCTGACCACACACAGCTGTGCATCACCGCGTCCCCTCCCACCACACGCACAGTCAGCCACCCACCTCCGATGTCGTCCTTCAGCGGCTGCGTGTACTTGCGCGCCGCAAACAGCGCAAGCAGCAGCGCGGTGGCCGCCGCCAGCCCCTGCTCCCCCGCCTGCGGCACCAGCCCGCTGAGGTGCCCCAGCAGCCAGCATGGGATCAGGAGAGCCAGGGCAAGGCTCTCCGGCTTGCCATAGCAAACCCCCTCCTTGAAGCAGATGCCGGTCAGCGAGGCAAAGGCGGGGCCCACCAGCCACACGGCGTCGGGGTGGGCTGCCACGTAGGCCGGCAGCGGCACGTCGGGGTGCGCTGCCGCCAGGTACGCCGCCCCCGCAGCGCCCGCCGCCAGCAGCGCCTGCAGCAGCCGCTTCATGGGTGCGACGTAGATGTGGATCAGCGCCGTAGCCACGGCCATGCCGCTGCCGCCTGCCACTGCTAGCCAGGTGCCGCCGCCTTGCAGCGCTGCCGCCCAGCTGGCATCCTCTGGAGCCAGCGCCGCCAGCGTGCCGGCGCAGAAGGCTGCGGCCACCACGCTGAGTGAGGCTCGGTAGCTCCACACCTCCACCACATCCTCTGGCTCAACGCTCCACACCCCAAAGGTTCCCTGTGGTGTGCGATGGAAGTTGGGTTGAGAGGGCATGGAGGGTTGCAGGAACAGAGCATTCCGGTTCAAAGCAGGCCCAGCACTGGGTTGGGTGTGTGTGCAGGAAACGTGGCGGCGCGGTGGGTTGGCGGCGGCAACCGGCGGCGCGGTGGGCTGGCGGCGGAAACCCACCTGGAACGGGCCTTTGGATTCTATCGCAGCGCGGGCAGCGCAGCTGCGCGCTCCTGTGCCAATGCCTGAGCGCGCAGCCCTGCCAACCACAGGCCGGCGCGGAAGAGGAGGGTTGGAGGCCGCACATACCCCCACAGCTGTGCACAGCGAAGACGCCATGTCGATGAGTTGGTATACTGAGAGCGTCTTCCCAAGCGCCCATGGCTCTGCTGTGGAGAGGCGGCCATCGCCACCCAGGCGCCAGCGCGACGGCCGCCCGCACCTGACACTCAGCCTCCTTGGGGGTCCACGCACACCAGATACGCGTAATACCCTGCTTGGGTTTGGAATGCATGTTGAATATACTGACCACCATGACTGCCAGAGGAAGAGCCAAGTCCCCAGTGTTGGCAAGACAAGTGGCGAGGCACACAGGCTGTCGCTGGACCAAAAAATCAGGTAGCGAAGAAAGGCAATTCTCAATGTTAAGCAGTTTAGTCTCAATTGTACAGTCAGCTGTTTATGTATCATTTCACTGAACCACCATCACGGCTTCCTGGCCATCCACGAGGGAAAGTTGGGCTCGCTGCAGGCGGGGCGGGAGGCAGGCGGGCATGAGCGAAGAGGGTTGTAACACACACAGCCGCGCATCCAGGCCCTGCCCCAGCAGCAGCAGCCGCTCACTTGTAGGTCACCAGCAGCGTGAGGCCGTGCTGCTGGGCAAACTCATTGACAGCGCCCTTCACCGCGCCCTGGTGCCGGCTGCCATCCATGCACACTGCAAAAGTAGGGGGGCGGGCAGGCATGGCAGATGAGAGAACACAGCCGAGTGGCCATCACAGCATGCCAGGCATGTCGGCGCCAGCAGCGGCCGCAGGCTCACGTGACCAGTCTTGCTTGCGTGGGCTGGGCTTGGCCGCCACCTCTGGCGCATCCAGGTAGTCGTGGCCCGCCAGGATGCCTCCCGACCGCAGCTTGGGCCAGTAGGCCGCCAAGTCCTCGTGCACGCCGCAGTAATCGTGCCTGAGGCAGGCGGGCAGGCAGGCAGGCAAGGGGCAGGGTGAGCTTGCCAAGGCATCGAGGCCACCGTTTACTCAAGCCTTGTGATCAAGGGAAGTCCTGCCGCCGAGGATCGTCAGCCCCACGCCACCCACCCCACCCACCCCACCTGGCGTCCACATACACATAGTCAAGGGAGTTGTCGGGGATCTGGGTGGCCGCGTGGGTGGTGTAGTTGCGGATGAACACGGTCTGCAGGGCAGCGAGGGCAGAGGATGAGGCAACAGACAGGGATCAGAAGGGTGCGCCAGCGAGGGGTGTCCCGCTGCTGAACAGCCCCACGCCCTCAGGAGCTGCACCCTGTCGCTGTAGGGCGCCAGGCGCTGGCGTGTGGCCTGGTACTTCTTCTCCTGCTCCGCGGCATCCACGTTGGCCACATCGTTGTAGTTCTCCTGCAAGCGCCATGGGCGACAGATGCCTTTGTCGACAGACGGCGGCAGCTGCTCTTTCCTAGTTGCATTCCTGTGGCGCCTGAAACCAACTGAATCTGTTCCTCGCGGTGGGACTTGCCTGGTGGCCCCACAGGTCCACCAAATAGTACTTGGTGCAGCTCTTCCACACCTTGAGCGTCTGGTCAGCAAAGAAGCCAGCCTGCAGGGTGCAAGGGGCACGTGGCAGACGAGGGAGGCAGAGTGGGGATTGCAGCCAGCCAGGCTTGTTATCAGCGAGCGAGGCCTGCCACAGCGACGCAGCTGGCGGCAGGTGCCCCAGCACACCGCCTCACCTGCACACCCAGCTCCGCCCCCGTCTGCAGGCCCTCCCGCTCCAGGACCGCGCCGATGTCTGCCCGGGCCTTGATGGGCAGCAGCACCTTGGCCATGCTGCTGCTGCTGCTGCTGCTGCTGCTGCTGCTCGGCGTGGCGGCTGACAGCTTCCCTGCTGGCAGTTGGCTCGCGCCTGCATCCGTCCCCGCCTGCTGCGCTGCTGGCTGCTGCCAGCCTGGCCGGGCCCGCGGGGCAGCACACATCGCTGCCTGCAAGCCCTGCATGTTGAAGATGCCGGCAGAGTTGCCCAGCGACGTCCAGCTGGCGCTGTACCGATGGTAGCCTGCCAGGTCAGCCAGGGGCGCGGTGCCCAGCGCTCGGTTCTTCACGGCCTGCAGGTGGCAGGCGATGTCGGAGTGCAGGCAGGGCATGAACCAGCCACCCTGCAGCCAGGCAGAGCGCAGGGTGTGGAGAAAGAGACTCAGATGGGCAGGTGTGATGTCTCACCGGCTGCAACTCGGCATGGCAGAGATGCAGCTCCCACAGGCGCGGCGCGCCGCTCACCAATGGCTGCACGACGACGGTGCCGCTGGCCAGTGCGTGCCGCCCAACCCACGGGTTTGTCTGGGTCGTGTTGGGCTTGGGACCCAGGGACAGCAGCGTCTCCTTCATCATTGTGGGGCCTGTGAGGGTGTGCTGCATCCCGCTGGTCATCTTGGGGCTCCTCCTCCAGTTGGTGTAGACCCTCTGGATGGCTGCCTCCCAGAGGGGGTGCCCAGGCACGCCCGCCAGCACGCCGTTGGTGACGCCCTTGCCGGTACCCTGCGGCGGCACGGCCCCGGTGGGTGGGTGCAGCTCGAAGCAGCAGCGGTGGCGGTTGGTGCAGTTGGCTGTTCTGCGCTGCTGCAGCAGAGACGCGCTGCCGGCACTTGCCGGTCGGCAGCCACAACCAGAGCACAACAAATGTGCGTGGCACATGGGCTTGCCGGGGGCACCAACCACCGCTGCCGGCAGATGCGCGCCCGCGGGCCCACCTGCAGCACCACGTCTGCGCCGGACAGCCACGCCTCGCTGCCGCGCCAGCACTCGACGTCCAGATCCAGGTACAGCCCGCCCACAGCGTGCAGGATGAAGTAGCGGATGGCGTTGGCCTGGTTGATGGTGCTGTTGATGCCGCACCACATCTCCGCAAAGCCGGGGTAGTGCTGCAGCAGGCGCGGGCGGCGGCGGTGACGGCGGCGGCGGCGGTGGTGGGAGCAGCTGGGCAAGCCGAGCGGCGAGCTTGCTGCATGGGGAGCGAGGCTGCGCCGGGCAGGCCTGCCCACCCACCGTCTCCACCAGCTGCGTGGCGGCCTGCAGGTCCCAGAACACATAGTCCCAGCCCGGGTGCTGCTGCACGCAGGACTGGCCCCAGCGCTGCCGCGTGTGGCTGGTCAGGTTCTCTGCCAGGCGCAGGTAGGCTCCCAGGTCTGGCAGGTAGACTGCAGCGGCATTGGAGACGGCGCCTGCCGTGTCAGACTGAGCTGCTCTGACCAAGGAGCATGCGCAGGTGTTCCAGCGTCAGCGGGGCCACCCCGCACCAGCAGCAGTCCTGGGATGGCAGCCATACCGTGGTGCAGGATGCGGGGGATGCGCAGGGGGTCATCGGCAGGGGGTGCGCCCGCCGGCGCCCCGCGCGGCGGCAGGTCCAGCCGCCACCGCTGCTCCAGGGCTGCCTGCGCCAGGCGCTGCTGCAGCGCGGGCAGCATGGACTGGGCTGCCGCTGTCTGAAAGTTGCGGCTCACCCCGTTGACCTGTTCGGGGTCGTTTTCGGTGGCACTGATCCAGCGCCAGCTGGAGCGGGCCGTGCTGCCGCCGCTGCTGAGGTTGCCGCTGCCGCTAGCACCGCGCGGGCCGATCAGAAAGCTGCTATGCTGTCCCCCAAATGTGTGCAACGCAGCTGTCTGGCTGCTGACAAGCCACATGGCCAGCGCACCAGCCACAAAGCCTGCCAGCCAGCCGTAAATCGGGCGCTGCCGCCCGGAGGTCGCCGGCAGCCTGCTGGGGGCTGGCGGTTGCAAGCCGCCCTTCATGGCTGCCACCTTGCGCGCGGCGCTGCCGCCGGCCTGCTATCGGCTGGTCCGCCAGCGAGTTATGTAAACAGTTAATAACTTGCGCTCCACTGCGCCAATGTCGGGTGTCAAGAAGGCGGTGTCGGGAGGCGCTATACGAGTTCCTTTTTCAATACCAGCACGCCGAACAGCAAAGAGAACTGCTCATATCGATGCGGCACCACCAACAACTGACTGCCGCTACCGCCAACTGGCGCCCGCCAACTGGCGCCGAGCCTTCCCTGCTGCGAGACGTTTCACAGGCCGTTAGCAGGCACTGTACAGAAGAATCAAAAGGCACAGGCGACAGCATGGAGCGAAGGGAAAGGTGTGCCTGGCACAGCTGGCACAGCTGACCATGGTGCGAGCGCGGCACTAAGCACGTGCATAGGACAGTGCCAGAACACTGTACGCAGTGCAGGACAGGACAGCACTGCAATGGCATTGGTGCATAGGACACTATTGCGTTGGGACAGTGGGAATAGAGTGGCAGAAAGAGAGAAGTATGCGGGCTCAATCTGCGGCGCAGCAGACCTTCCTGTACAACGTGGCGCCATAGTCGGAGGGCCTGACGCTTTGCCACAAGGGGGCCCCGCTTGGAAGCTGGGCCCCCAGCACTTGCAGCTGGAATGCATCGGTGCCGCTCGCGCCGGCCACGCTGGGCGGGCAGTTGCAGCGCCCGCTGCAGCAATCGGTGTTTGTCTTGCAAGAGAAGGGCCCCTGGCTGGCAACTGCCGCGCTGTCCAGGCATCTGCGCGCACCATGTCGGGGGGGGGCCATTCCATCAATGGCTCATTGTGTCCAAGAGCAGCGGTACTGCTGTACTGCTGCACGCGCCATCACGTGGTCCCACCTGCTGCACAAGGGGCCATGCAAAGGCACGGCCCTGCTAGATCAATGTGCCATCACCATCATTCCCTACTCACTTGTTCAGCTCTGGGTCGGTGGACAGGCAGCTGTCTAGCATGTACACCAGAGCATATGATGCGGGTGGTGCCACTGCTGTTCCTGTTGTCGGCGTCCCCACTGGCATGCCAGACGGCAGCGACAGCCGCACGAGTGCGAAGTCCTCGCATGCAGTGGTCAACTTGTGGCCAACATAGTCGACCTGTCAAGTGGAGGAAGACGTGAGGCAGTGTTGACGCTGGCTCATGCTGCTGCCATGACCAAGCTCGAAGCCCGGGCATTAGGCAGCAGCATTCAGGCAACGGAATGCGCGCAAGGGGATGCGCTTGGCAGCTGCAGTTTACTGCTCAGGGCATCCCACAGCACACCTGCGTGCCATAGGGCAGTAGCAGCCCGCTGCCATCTGGCGTCCTGTACACGTCATCCTTGGACGGAACGCTGCACACCTGCGGTACCAGCAACGGTTCCCCCAGGCCAGGCAGACGCTTGGCTTATGTTGTGCTACAGATCCCGCGGGTCCCCCATGCCACCCACACTCCCTTAGTCAAAGAGGGTGCAGGCAGTTTAAACTGGCAAGTACACATGCATGCATATGTCCTCCCATGCGTGCCCCACCTCCCGCCTCCCCTGCCCTTCCCTGCCCTGCCCTGCTTCGCCTCACATAGCAGGAGTCATTCGTGACGCGCAGCTCCCCCTGCAGGCCGCCAGCCGCATAGTTGGTGTAGGCTGGCACAGCGTCTGTCGCCAGGTCCTGCACAGCTGTCGTGCACCCGTCGCTGCTGCACCGCGGTGACCAGCTATCCACTATCGCCTTCAAGCTGGCTAGTACGCACGCATAGCCATCTGTGTCTTTATAAGACTGCCCTGCTGTGATGTCGGCGCCAAGAGGGTCAGTGAGGGGTGGGCTCGGGTCGGCCAGGAAAGCCTCAACATCCGGAAAGCCGCCACAGCTGGCACGCTGCAGGGGAGCAGGCAGGCGGCAGCAGGGCAGGGATGACAGCGTGAACGACGGTTATCAGGCGCGCTGTACTGTCCACGTAACCAGGCCAGAGCCAGGTGAGCAGAGGTCAGGGAGGTGAGCAGGCACCAGCACCTCGCTGTGCTGCACTCACCCCTGCCACGACGGGACACTCCCACTGCACATCCGGGTTCTGCTCGTCGTCCTGTGGCGAGTCCAGCTGGCACACAACCCTGCGCGCCGTTGATGCAGGGTTGGTTAGGGCGGGGATTGGTGGGCAGCAGTGCAGCAAGCCAGCCTTGCCAGCCAGCCCTGAAAATGCGGCTGCCCACTGCCTCCCATCACTTCCCTGCCGTTGAATGCCTGTGCCCTGCAAAACGTGCCTGGTGCAACGGCTGTTCCAGCAGCTGCAGCCCAGGTTCCAATCAATCTCTTCGGTGGAGCGCATCTCAGGCGGGCACTTGAAGTCGCAGCCCAGATCCATGGCCTGAGGCAGATGGGCAGATGCAGGCAGGGTAGTGAGGGGCAAATCGGCTCAGTGAGGACGACCTAATACTGCTTGCAGAGCATGTGCGCTGCTGGTTTGCTGGGGTGCGTCCACTCAGGAATGAATGCTGCCGGACAGCAGCAGTGTCGAGACAGGAGTACCTGATAGTAAGAGTACCCAGACCCGCCGCAGCTGGCGCTGCCCTCTGGCACCTCCTCTGCAATGGCGTCAGTCACGAGCTCACAGTCGCTTGCAGAGCCGGACAGTCAAGCAGGCGGGGGACAGAGGGGCAAGACAGGGCACAGCATGGGAGCCAGCGTGCAAGTCCATGGGCAGAAGCGTGGGTAGCCACAGCGACAGCCCGGCAATCCACAGTGGCCCCCACTGCGCACCCCTGCTGTCAGCCACATAGGGCGGGATGCAGGCCAGGCAGAGAGGGTCGTTGGCTCCATATGGGGTGTAGCACAGGTCGCAGTGAGGTATCACAGCCCGGCAGTCCTTGCCAGTCATGACGGCAGCACCCTCCAACTCAGATAGCAGCCGCGCACACTCCACCTGCAAGTTCAGCAGCCAGCCAGCGGGAAGCGGCCGCAAGCCACCGGGGGCGGTTATACGGCAGTCGTGCATTCCACGCCTCCGAGGCGTTCGAGTCGAACAGAATGGCAGGCATTGATGCGAGTGCGATCCCCGTACTCGAAACAGCACTGTTGCACAGGAGCACAGAGCCAGCACCCTGCACCCGCGTATTGGACGCCTCCCACGCCTGCTTGGCGTCAGGGTGGAAGGCGATGGCTAGGTAGTAAAGCAACGCAACCAGCTGGCAGGCGCTCTGGTCGCGGCCCAGCACGTTGGCACCGGGCACCGCCTGGCGAATCCAGCGGCCCACATCAGAGGCACACACTGACATCGCAATCTGGCTGCGCCAACACGGGTGGCAGGTACACATGTCTTGGCAGGGCAGGGCAAGGCAGGGCAGGGCAGGGCAGGGGCAGCGCAATGTAGCTCTGCCCTGCATCATGCATAGGGCTGGTGGACACCAGCCCCAGGCAGGAACCCACCAGCCCCAGGCACCAACTCACTAGAGCGTGACGTCGCAGTCTTCCTTACTTTTGCCATACGTGATGGGGTTGTGGTGGTAGCAAAAGTCATGGAACATGCCTGCAGGTTACGGCACAGCATGCAGATGCCGCTAGGATTCGAGCAGCATGCAGAACGACCTCGGCGAGCTGGCAGGTAGGAGCTGCTGCCAACTATCATTTGGGCTATTGGACGTACAGCCCACACTGGACCACTCGCTCACCGGCGGGCCAGAACAACAGTAGTCGCTGTACGTCTGGAAGTCGATGCTCTGCAGTAACTGCTGCAGCTGTGCCA